GAGTCGTTATAGTAGTGCCCTTACGAAAATGTCTTATTGGATTCCTACATATTCCTTTTAGGAATACAGGATCATTCGATAATTATTGGCAACACTGTGATTAATCAAAAAGTATTTCTTGTAGAAACCTGAAATTTTACATGTCTTCGATATAATCTCCTGCCTTGTCGCGCCAGACGCGCTGCCGCACCTCTGGGAGACGCCTGTCGCCGTTAGCAGCGTCACTTTTGGTGATATCCGCGACCGCCCGCCTTATCGCTGTTACGACTTCTTCTGTCGTCTTGAAACGGATGCTTCGTAGGGGTTCTTTCAATTTCCGGAAGAGGTCGTAATCGCAGGGGCTCATGTCCGGCGAGTACGGCGGATGTTCCAGTATCTCCCAATCCCACTTTTTGAACAGGTCGGCTACTGTGTTGGCCACGTGACACCGAGCGTTGTCGTGCAGCACGATAGGGTGTGACTGCAAAAGATGTGGTCGCTTACGGCGCAGTGCAGGGCGCAGATGGTGTTCCAGAAAGTTCCGGTAATACACAGCGTTTACCGTGGTTCCGGAGGGGACAGCATGAGTCATAGTATCTCCCAATCCCACTTTTTGAACAGGTCGGCTACTGTGTTGGCCACGTGACACCGAGCGTTGTCGTGCAGCACGATAGGGTGTGACTGCAGAAGATGTGGTCGCTTACGGTGCAGTGCAGGGCGCAGATGGTGTTCGAGAAAGTTCCGGTAATACACAGCGTTTACCGTGGTTCCGGAGGGGACAGCATGAGTCAGGAGAACGCCCTCGTAATCGTAGGCAACAATCAGCATGACCTTTACGTGGCCTGCCTCCTGTCGAAATTTTCGTTGACGAGGTGACCCTTGGCGACGCCACTCACTTGACTGTCTCTTTAATTCAGGTTCATACGAACGGGCCCACGTTTCATCCATGGTTATGATCCGTCGAAGGAAGGCTTCACCCTCGCGTGCATAACGATCCAAATGCAATCTGGCGGTTTCCATGCGTTGCCACATCTGAACTTCCGTCAGATTGTGTGGGATCCATCGCGCGCAGATTTTCCGCATTCCCAGCGTTTTCGTTAGTATTGCATGGATTGTGGATGACGCAATACCAACCTCACGTGAAAGTTCAGTGCATGTCCATCGTCGGTCTGTATCCAATAAAGCCCTCACAGCGGCGACGTGGCTTTCATCCTTGGCTGTGACGGGTCGTCCTGCTCCAGGTTTGTGTTCCCCACTTTCTCTCCCACTTCGAAAGGCACGCACCCATCTTGCCACGGTTCTGTATGGCAGGGCTTCTTGTCCACAGGCCTCTTGCAGTCCTTTGTGACACTGAAGTGCATTTCGCCCTCGAGCAACCTGGATTTTAATGAAGCAACGTTGCTCGTACCTACTGAACATGCCTTAGGGCGGTTTCACGTGACAACTAATGTTTCATACCACTGTTGCAGCACTAACAATGAGCGTATACTTGCAAAAACATATTTATTAAGAATGGCCAAAACATGATACGGACTGAACTATTTCCAAACAAGGCTAAATTCAGTACTGTACAATCCTATACATACGCCTGTATTTGGAAGTTCCGTAAGGGAAGAGACTTTCGTACATCCCCATATGGCTCTCTTTGCCTCATTTTAGCAATCAATAAACTTGGACACTTCCTTATTTGTCATCCCCATCTTCCAGATAGAATTATGGTATCCAGGCAAGAAATATGCCCATATTCCCCTTGAAAACCATGTACGAGAATAAGTAGACCCTATCCGAATGGAATTTCAGCAAAGAGACGGTGTTCGAAGGGTCTGTCTGTTATTTCTTTAAGCTGGGAGAAGAATGATTTTTCTCTATACCGAAGGAAATGGGCGCGCTATCCAGCACATTCCAGCGATATTAGCGGGCAATAAATTAAACTAGCGTAGGCAGTTCTAGTATTATAAATGCAAGTGCTTCTACGATGGGAAACCCCTTCCGGCAATTAATTGACACCATTTGACTCTGGAGGCCATTCCCGTGAAAATCACCTACGAGAAAAAGTGGACTTCAACCGAGAAGAGCTTCATTAAAGAGATTGTGTTCACAGGTTCTGTTTGCCATTTCCTTAGACCGAGAGAAGAATGGTACTTCTTTCTACCTAAGGAAGTGGACGCGCTATTCCGCGCACTCCAGTGACATGTGTGGGTCTAGACAATAAATTAATCAGGTCTTGGCAGTACTAGTATTAGAAAAGGAAGTGTCCCTACCATGGGAAAACCCATAGTCGGTAATTAATTTACACGAAAATGCTGCGCCAATATTGACCCCGGTTGCCATTCCCGTTGTAATGCCAAGGCTTCGAAATTCAATAAATTTTCCCCGAATCCTATAGGTCAACAGTCCTATACGATTGAATAGGGATCCTATTGGATCCTATAAGACATTTCCGTCTAGGTTCGGTCTGGAAACAGCCGTACACTTACAGGATGTATAATAACAATACTTATAAACTGACATTAGTTGTAAATCTATGTTCTCATTGAAGCGCTTTTTGCAAACCTACAATCAAATCAAGTGCAACAGACTGATCAGTTGCCAACATGTATTTGAAATTTCATTTGATATCGCATTCCACTTCCCAATCCGCTCTTGGGGGAAGGAGTGCGGATTTGTTCTCTCGGCATTCAACATGATTGGGTATTTATGAAAAAAAAAACTTTTAGTAAAGTAAGAGGTGTTCCATATGTCCTGCACGAATCCCAAATCCAGCAGGATTATAGCCTTGCCTCGGATGCATTCAAATGCGAGTCGTAAAGTAGGTCGGGAACATAAGCCAAAGCAGAGCGCAAGTTACGTGAAAACAGCTCCATTAGGAACAGAGATATTTTGCTTTTCGTGCCCATTCCCTTGGCACACTCATCTCTAATAAGTCGTTCGCCTCCATTAATGCACTCGCATTTCGCCTGGTTAATCACAATCGTTATATGGAAGGATGGAGTGCCTCCCCATCTCTGGGTAAGCGATCCTTCCTTCCTCTATTCTTTCTGCAGAGAACTCAAGATTTCCTCCGGATATCCTGCATCATTAACGACGCTGACTTCACTTTCAATGAAAGGCCGTGGTAATTTTGCTGCTTTGCTTTGTTTCCTTATGTTGTGTTCCCTCTTTTCCTGGTAGCTTAAAACTTTCGTCTTTCCTTCCTCCTCTGGAAGCCTTCCTTGCAAATTAGCAACTCTAAGAATGCTAATCTAAGCTTTAACTTGCCATCCGGGAAATTGGAAATTGCCATTGGGAAACTAAAAATTTTCCATCTCATCCTCATCGTGGCGATGACATCTCCATCGAATCAAAGAGTAGAATGAATTCCATGGTACTTTAAGATGATATTTAAATGGTCTTTCATAGGACCTTTTCGTCCATGACATCGCTACATTTCAATTCGTAATCCGCGAAGGGCACTTGCTCCTTTTGCAAGTTGAAAACTTTGCCCAAAAAATTTCCCAATGCATATTGAGTCGGAATGTACGATAAATACAATGTCGCACATATTTTCAAACAAAAATATTGTGAAGGAGATAATTTTTCTGATATTCATTTCCATAGCTTAAATTTGAAAATGAAAAAAGAATAATATTCACACATTTTCCTTGGTAGTGACTCCAGGGTCTCTCGTCGCGTGGAAATAGGACAGGTGCATTGAGGAGATCCGCATTCCTACATTTTATTTTTCACTTTATTTCACTCGCTTATCATTGTGGCATATGTGCTTTCCCTCATGGGAATCGCCTGACTTCTCGGAATTGCCGACGGCCTCTTAACGGGCTTCAGGGAAAACGCAGAGCATATATCCTACTCTTTTTGAGACGCAGAAAGAAGGAAGAAAACGAAATTATTTGCGCACTGGCGCTAGCGGGAAGTGTATATCAATCGAATTTTACCTTTCGAAAATGTCTTATAGGATTCCTATGTATTCCTTTAGGAAAATATATGAATACTATAAGAATCCTATAGGAACCTTGAATGAATCCTAGAGGTTACTTTATGCCCCTTAGAGTTCAGTTTGGGACCTATAGAGTCCCTACAGAACCTATACTGCCCCCTATAAAACCGATAGGGTTCCCTATAGAACCAATAGGGTTCCCATAAGGCCTATAGGTTCCCTATTAGACCCAAAGGGTTCTATATAGGACCCGTAGGGTTCCCCATAAACCTGGAGGGTTCCCTATAGAACCTGCAGGGTTCGCTATAGGACCAATAGGATTCTCTATAGGGTCAATGGGGTTCCCTATAGTGCCAATACGTAACCCTATAGGACCTATAGGATCTATAGGGTTCCGTTTGAAGTTCTCCTCTAGACCACTAGATTGTTTCCACTAGATTGTAGATAGTATTGTTTCTCACATTTCTCAAAGGGCACAAAATTGCCCTCCCCTTACACAAGGAATCATCTCTCACATGAGAGTCTTGTACGTCCCCAAATGTCTCGCCTTGCCACATTGTAGCAATCAATAAACTTCGACAGTTCCTTATTTGTCATCCCCATCTTCCAGATATAATCATGGAGTCCCGTGAAGAAATATGCTCTTATTCCCTTTGAAAAGCAAGTACGAAAATGAGTAAACTCTATCCCAATGGAATTTCAGTTAAGAGACGCGCTCGCTGGTTATGTATTCTATTTCTTTAGTTCGAGAGAAGAGTACTACTTCTTTCTACAGAAGGAAGTAGACGTGCAATCCAGCGACATATGTGGGGCGGGCCATAAATTATGCAGACTCCAGCAGTACTGGTATTATCAGATAATAACGCATGTCTCCCTACCATGGAAAACCCCTTAATTGGTTTTTGATTGACACCGAAGTGCTGAACCAATATTTACCCCGTTCGCCTTTTCCGTCGTAATGCCTGGGTTTCGAAACCCAAAAAATCCTCCCCGAATCCTATAGGTCAGGAAAATACGAGAAATTTCCATAACGAAGAGCTTTTATGGCTTGTTAATCACTGCGTTCAGAAAAGAATTAGGAGTTCGGGTCCGGCCCCACCAATTTATATTCCCATCATACGACATAGAGACATAGAGACGTTATCAAAAAAATCAACGACGATATTCCCTCCATTAATTTCTCCGCGGACGCTTTATTCAATTCTGTCACGGGACATTTCCGCAGGATCGCTCCCTGACGGCATCGAGCAAGGCGACCAAGCCGTCCAGTGTTTCTTCCCCGGACGGAATGATCTGAAAGGGCGGAAGGAGGAATCCCCAGACTCCTGTGTCTCTCAGCATACACTCATAGGAATATTTGATACCGGCCACCCCTTTCATCCAGTCCGTCGACGTACCCGAGGATTCGTCTGCATTGAAAAATCCAAGTGTAGGAATTAGAGAATCATGGGCCATCCTCGCGTTCCTGGCATGTCTCACGGTTTTACACTTCTGATTCCCCCCAACATGTTCAGCCAGTCTCTTCTAGGACCTGACCATTCAAATAGCAGAAAGTGTCGCTACAAAAGAATTAAATTTTCTCCTTTCGGACAGGTATGAATTTTGCTCGGATGATATTTAAGAACAAATGGAAACTAAAATCTTTTCTAAGGAATATACACGATTCATCTGCAGTATATGTTACTGGACTATGTGGAAGTGTTATTTTGTTACCCATACTCATAAGTGAAGCAAGAGGAGTTCCTCAAAAGTTAATACGCACTAAAAGTCTGGAAAAAAATTCTGCGGGGTGGATTCCTCTCCCCGAAAATATACAGCTCTTAGGAGTCGCCTATTCGCGTTGAAGTGTCACAACACTCATTAGGGGATCCGGTTCCGACGCGCTAAATTGTAGATGATATGTCTTGTATTCGCGCCAAAGTTAAGCATGAGACCCTATGAAATGTGTTTCATCTATCGTCAATCGGGCGAAGTCTGGCTCTCCTGAGAGAAACTCACACACGATATCCGTGGAACTTCCCGATTAGTATTGCGTGCCATATCGTTCCTCGAGGGCGCTCTCGGTTATGCGTGCCACTTCCAACTGCAGCGAGAAACAGTGACGCACTGACCTATGTGTTGTTCAACGCAATGAAAAGGAGAAAGAGAGAGGCTCACGAGATCGTCGTAGTCGTCCGGATGCGTGGTTGTGAACCCCCATGGGAAGAGAAAGAACTGAGAGTAGGAATGGATGTCGAGATAGAGCTTGAAGTCCAGTTGGGGCATGTTCTCCAGCACGTAATCGGCGATTGCCCTCGTCTCCGATTCGCTGAATGGCGATGGCGCTGATGAACAATCCCCGCTGGCTGCAACGGGTCGTGAATGCGATGACACGTCGGCGTGATTCGTTAACTCGTGAGTCCAGCTTATTTCGTACGAACGTGGCACAAAGGGTGTCTGCGTTCGTACAGGATAAACTTAAAAATGCGAAAGGATTTTTAAACTTCATATGATTTTCAATTGTCAAGACGAACGAGAACGACATTTAGTATACGCAGCAATGGTGTTGTCCCAATCCCCAATCGTGCTGTTGCTTTAAATGATGTAGAATTGCAAATGAAGGGGATTAAATAGCAATATTCTGAAATAGCTCAATGATAAGCAGAAGTCCATCGTGGACTGAGGAGTCGACCTTCGGATGAACGGGGTCGCCGATCGTACGATGAACTCGAGTGTTGAAAATATGAAAATTGAATTTTTACCGCTCCAATGGAAGTCGAAGTTTCGCTCCGGATCGACTCCGATGCAACCGTCTTCGGGGTCGTGGTCGCTCATCGTCCTCACCCACATCCGGTTCTGAAACGAAAGAAGTCTAGCGTGCTTGCAATAATGTAATCAGAATGGATGGGGGAGTGTGAAAGCGCATGGGGAATAATATATTGGCTTTAGGACACGCAGAGGGAACACAGGGCATTTTTTTCACCACAGTAGCGAATGTCGAATCATCTGTGAGCTCCTTCTGTGTCACGATGTCCTCATTTCATTTTCACTTTGGTCACTAAGAACATCTTTTCTCAGGATGTCCTAACCCAGTCAGGAGGCCATAGATCGGCGTATCTGCGGATGCTGTGGGGTTCTTGTAGCTCTTCAGTGGTTAGACTGTCTGTGGCTCAGGAAAATCTGCACACTTAGCCCGCGCTTGGCGGACATGGATGTTTCACGCACTAATGCAATCCGACTGAAGTGAAAACTTCTGGAAATGCTTTGAAGCTTTGATGAGAACCGTACACTAATGCTAATTATCCCAGGAAAAGTTTGTTAATTACATAAGAAGTTGTTACGAGAACCCTAGTGTCCTGGTTTTCTAATAATGTTACAGGAGGCGATAACGGAATCTCCAAGCGCAAGGGTTCGAGACACATTCTCTGCAGGATTTGCTTACGGTCGTTTGACTGTATTCCAAGCCGTCAGGGTTGGGGATGGGGAGGATCACCTCCAGCATAAGCAACTCCTAAGAAAGCATCTGACCTAAGCGCTCCTCGAGCAAGTACTAGGTTCACTCTCACCGGCTGCACTAGGTAAGGGCTCGCACGTACAGACGCACCACCCCTTAAGGTTTAGTGCTGTGGGTCACGGGTCACGAGCGGGGACGGGGTGATGAGACTCACTCGCAACGATGAAGGCTGCCGTTTTTGGAATTCCGCAGTCCTTGTTGAACCGGAGAAGCTTGAGATCCCTGCCTTCCCAGGAGGATCCGATGGTCTCCAGGGAAACGACGTCTGGATACGTGGATGGGAGGGAGTCAAACCATTCGTAAGTCTGGAAAACGAACGGAAGGAATTCACACGCTCCGCAGGTTAGGGTAACTGGCTGTGTCAAGGTGGAACGTGAAAAAGGATCAGAAACGGTCGCTTCGACCTATATCGTTCAGAGAAATTCTTATAGGCAGTTTCGAACTTCTCAAATAACATAAAACTCGGATAATAAAACATCTGCAGGGCGGTAGGAAGAGCTATCGATCTACGGGGATCTTAAATCGGCATAAGAGTCCCGTTCGAAGTAAATCGGTGCCTGAGTTAATGTACTGTATACAACCAAACCCTCCAGATGAATTTCGACGTCTCTACTCTAAAGAATCGGCAGTTGCCAGTGAGCATTTTCGTTACCATTGTATTTTTTTTAATTCTATGTGCTATGTCAGGAAGTGGTATTGCGGAAACGTTGGATACGACAACTCAACCGTCTCCTCCCAGGATCAGTCTGGAAATCCTTCAAAAACGATTCCAAGTCCCGGATGGACTCCGGAGTCGCCAATGGGATGGACGACCATTTAAAGATTCATGAATTACTGGCAACATTATGTGCATTCAGATCAGTTTGTACCAGTTAAATCTGAAACACACAACCGAGGAGCTCGTGCACGTCGTAAAGGTAGTCCGTCTGTGTCTGGTTTTGGTTCTTCAGAATGAGAATTCTTAATAAACACGTCATATCAGTTATTTCTTATAAAAGGCGCCTTTTTAAACCCTGAATGCCACAGGTTCTCCTGATATTCATCCCAAGCCATTCTGCCCCCCTTGGTCGCCGTCTTTTGGCCTTCTACCACGCTGAAAGGGAAACGGATTGTCATGCAGGTCGAAGAAGAAACAAAACAATTATTTTCTATTTCATTCAACCAGATACGGAGAGAATGGAATTATTCCTTGAGACTTCCCAGAGGATAAAGGTCCATCCCTTTTGCATTTTCCGAATCAGTGAAGATCAGTCCATTGAAATCTTCAGTTCATAAATTGACATCATCTTCGAATTAAAAAAAAGCAATTATGTGTAGCTTAACGGAAGTCGACAAAACAGCGAAATAGATATGATGGAGAAAACCGAAAATTCTCCAGTTTCTTTGAGACAGCTGGCAACTTCCTTACCGAGTACTAAAGGAGGAAGCGGGCAAAGGTTAAGACAGCGGTCCGCTTCCGGTTTCTTATAAGTTTAAGAAGGGGAGCACTTGTCCTTTAAACTCCTTGCTTATAACGCTGGCATGTTTCATGTTTTCTTAACTACTTGCGAAACATTCGTGCCCGAAAGACCTTTCATGGCGCAATTTCAGATTTGAAATTGCGCCTGGTCTTAGCTAAGACCAAAGTTAATGCAAAGGTCAACGGTTAAGATCAATAGTTTCATCCAGTGTTCATTGCTGATAATTCCTTTGTTTCTACAGAAAACGCTCGAACGAAATATCCATCCTCCAGGTGGATTTGGAACAAGGTGGTTGTTCCACAATTGCAGCCATGGATCTTGCCTTTTCTGCACATCGACGCGCGTTCGAATACAGACCAATACTCAATTTGGCAAGATGCTGATCGGTTTTATTTTGTTTGCCCAATTCATTAATTTTATAACTGGAATCCAGGAATTGAGCTCCTTCCTCGACCTTACCCCCTGTCCACACTCACCTTGGCATTAATCACGTGGAAAAATTATGTTCATGTCTCTTAGATATTATCTGGTCCTCAGGCGAATCCTCCAATAAAGTATGCTGTAGCTAATTACTGGTTCAGGTTTCATATGGGAGAGATTCAAATTTCAAGAACGGCTTACGAAAGTCATGTAACTCTCCCCATCCTTAAACTGGAAACTTAATATTTTTCAAATTATGAAAATACAGATGACCTTTGGACATCGGGAATGATGACTTGAGGGTGGAAACCGTCTCGTCGGAGTTCACGGAGAATATCACTCTGATCCTCCGGACCGACCATGAAGTCCACAGGGGAATCCACTTTGGACGGCTCCCTCCAGAAATCCAGCTGCAGGACGTCAACTGACTCAAGTTCTTCCCATCCACGAACTGCATATAACCGGCGAGACTCACCTCGGAGTGGGAGAGTCGGAATTTTCGGATGGCGTCCAAGGATGCCAGATCGCGGGGGAAGACCCGGACGACGGAATGGTTGTGGAATCTCCTTCCTTCTGTCAGGTGGCAGGAAGCCACGATGAGGAATCCCAGGAAGAGGAAACCTTTCATGCATGGGATTTTCCTGCAACAATCGAGCGTAAAAGCAGCTTACGTTTTAGTTATCATGAAGCCGGCTTCGAATGAGATTAGTTGCGTGGAAAGGGGGGAGTAGAACATGCTTCAACTTTCCCGCGACATGAATGAGTTTTTCGATTTGAAATTTAAAAAAATCCCTGGTTACGTTTCAAATGTGTATGAAGCTCGTTTTCGGAATCGGTCTTCAATGCGGTAAATTTTAAAGGAAGAAACTTGCTATGGACCAGCTAATTGTCAAAGCCATTAACCAAGGGGTTAATGGCTTTGACAATTATCGCGCCATCGGCGCTCGCACCTTTAATATACATTCATTGTTGAAAACATTCAGAGCGACGTCATATTTACTTCCAGTATGAAGATCAAGAAATAAAAATTAAGTGAGTTATTTAGTGTTCCTATATTAAATATGATTCCTGCATGTGGTCGTTACACTCTTCATTATATACACATCTCCAAAAACAAATAGAACCAGACACACAAGATTATTACTTCAGCGTTTTAATACAATAATTATTTGTAAACAAAGGAGAACTTCATCGTTATATTCATAACTATATTCGTGCTCGAGAACTCTAAGGATGTCCCCTTCACAAACTCTTCCTAAGGCAACATACCGTTGTCCATAAGAAAATGAGTTATTCCGTAAATGCAGTCCATAGTTAAGCATGTTTCTGATTCGTTGAATGAAATGTATGCAAAGAAGTGGCATTGGCCTAAACATCCGTACGTGGATTGGGCATAGCCTCTCTAAATCCCAATGTCGAGGAATAGTCTTTCTACCTACGACCCTTCTAGAATTATATAGAGTATATTTAACCTATTATCATCTGGAAGCGTGTCAGTACACGTCAACCCGTGTCCTTCCATTTAACCTATGACCAAGAAAGGCATAGGCTTGGAGGCCTCACGCCTCAGGCTAAGACAGCATGATTCTCGGTCAGGTAGGCCGAAAAGTTCCTGGATACAAATGGGTCAAGATTGGTGAGGGCCTGGGCGTCTGTCCGAGGGTTGAATATAGACCTGCTGTGTCAGTCCCCTCAGGAAAGACACCTTCAAAGTCCAACTTCACCCATAGTATGCAATCCAACAGCTATTTGCTTTCCCGTCTGCTTTCTCGAATGTAAAAATTGTACAGTATGATAGTGTATATTAGCCTAAACATTCATCCATTGTTTGACCTAGGCCTCTGAAATCAGTCCCCCTCGAAATATGCCCCAAGGGAATTTACCCCCTAAGTCGAAAATTTTCTGGAGACAGCAAGCTAACTGCTATCTGTGTACCAAGTTTCAGCCTCTCATCATGTCTAGAACATGGTTAGAATTAGCGGCCGTCACTCGCGATCGTCTATACAGTATTAGTAACATCTTTCTTTCCTTTACCTTTTCATTCACGATGAGGATAAAGACCTTACACACTCGACTGAATCGGAAAAGTTTACTGCATTGGCTTAAATGCTCTGAAGAAGCAGATGGAGAAAGATCACTTCCTACGTTTTTTCCTCATCCAAGAAAAAAAGGAATAACAATGAGAGAATATTCGTACATATTCGAAGTGGGTGGCTCTGCCGTGTGTCACTTTCTCGGTGCAGGCGAAAGAGATAAGTCGACACTAAGCGCTAACGAAAAGGCATGAACTTCGAACGCAAAGAATAGCCTCGCTGTAAACCCGAAAAAGGCTGTGACAATTCTCAAAAGCCTTTAAAGGGTAAGATGCAGGATTTTAAAAGGCTGAAAGAGCATGTGAACCTGGATTTCCGAGAATACTTTGAACAAAATATAGGGCATTTCCGAGGAAATTCCACCCTGTGCTGTTCGCAGAATTGTTTTCATTTTTCAGAGATATAAATATGCAAAAAATGAAACTGCCGTGGAGGCCAGAATGGGAAAGCGTGGTCAGCTGAGTCATCCCCAGCCTGAAGAATGCTACACGGTGAATATTTTTCTACATCATGAATATTCTGCTGTATTGCGAATAGTCTCGTTCTCAATGCCATTGAGCCACAAGTATGTCTTGAAGACGCCCTAATACTGTCTTCATGAAAAAATAAGACATCTCAAAGACGTGTTGAATGCCTGCAAATGTCCCCTTCCAAAGATGTCTTCATTTGTTACTTTCAAAGCATATCAGAGATGTATTGAAGATGAGTCATTTCTTTCCCTGTGCATCCAGTATAAGCCTTTATATAACAACATCCCTTACTTTCTTCTGGCATAAAAAGCAGGTGCTTTCTCGATGGACATAGGATTAAGGTGATTGTGACAATCTTGAAAGAATGAACCATGAAAGAGGTGCAATGCCTCGTATTTCCTCCTCAAAAATCGAAAATTCAAATTCTGAATTATTTTGGAAACTACAACCATTAACAAACTGGAACGGTTATCACTGGTGAATTCTGGGTTAAACTTACCAGAGGCGAAATACACATGCATCTTGTCAATGTCAATCCCATAGGAGGGTACAGTAACATTTGCGAAATGTCAGATTCATAGCTCTGGTGTTCATCTAGGTTTCAGCTTCATCTTCATTTCCATCACCTTCATCTTGGATAGCAAAACTTCTCTTCTTAGCTTGCTCTCTGCAACATGGAAATAAATTACTCTGATTTTGAATGCACTCCACAGGAATGAATGGATCAGATCGCCTTCCTCACATAAGAGAATGATTCCCATATTACTTCTACTCAAAACAAGGTTTGTTCACTAAAACATTAAAACTTACTTTGTCCACTTTGCAGGTGCATTCCTTAGCCAAGTTGGTCTGCCTTTTTATAGGTACTGGTGTAGCAAGCTTCAGATTTCTGACTGCTCTTGAACAATGTTATAATTATCATCTCTAGGATATTAGGATCGTCTATGTATATTAGATGAAGTCATGAGAAAACCAATTTTCCAATGGCTTTCCCTTTCTTCAACCACAGTCTCTCTATGGCACTCACTAACGTTAGGGCTAGGCCTAAAACCAACAGATTGCCTTCAGGTGACGCCAAGGCCTACCTTTTTCTCTACAATAGGAACTCAATTCTCGACAATAAAACCCATGGTGGTGAAACCGTGGTCTTCGAGACATCTCGTTGAGGACGTGTAACGTTAGGCCAATCGCTGGTGTGTTTATACGTTCTCGAACCATTTCAGAGAGAGTTCAACATTACCCCATTTTGAGGCCTGTTTCGCGTTTCATGAACCATTTCAGTGGGACGTAGAGCGTTAGGCCTACATGGAGTTCCTTGTACCATCTGGCATAGGTCTGAGGGGGGATGCCTTCAAGAAGCATGCAATCCATGGTACGCGCCATCTTGTTAATTCAAGGATGTCTGGATAACATATCTGAATATCCCACCAAATCAATCATTCAATCCTATCCACCGCATCATTCTCAGCTCTACCTATGAACTCAGCACAAAAATGTCTCATACATTAAGAAACAAGATTCAGACGACATTATGAAGGTTGAAAGAATCTTGAATCTGGCATAATTTCGGCACGGAATCCGGCAACACTGGGGGAGGTACCGGAGTAAGCACTATAAACCTAATTGAACGACAGCTAATTTCATTTTTATGGCGAAATGGAGTATCACAAACAACAAGAAGGCCACTTTTCGTAATGTGCGAGTCAATATATTTTTTTTTTACAATTGGTCATTTTTCTCCGAAACCACCCCAGGGGAAGGGGAGAAAAAATAAACGGAATGAAATTCACTAACGAGATTCCTCCAAAAACAGTGCTCTCCACAAACCCGGGGAGATGAAGCTTCAAATTTTCTGGAGCTAATCTGTGGTGAGAGAGGAAGAAGTAATCCAAATTTCGTAACTGCTGATTCTTTCAGGGGGAAATACGAGGAGGTTGAATTTTGCAGTTGTAAGGGGTTGAAGAAAGGTAATAGGCGCTACTAAAGTATATTGAAACTTTGCCTCCTGTATGTGGAGTTCGGTTTACGCTCCAAGGGTCATCGGGTTGCAATACCGATAAGGAAACACATTAGTTACGGCTTTTGTCCTGATCAATAAGCTACCCAGTGAGCTACAAGGCAGTCGCTGAACTCCACAAACAAGTGCAAAATTTTTCAATGTTGCGTTTAAATACGAACACCAAGTATACGTCACCCATTCGCATCTACAAGCGCACCGGTACACATGAATCCTTGTCCTTCCTCCAAGCCTATGGCCAAGAAAGGCATAGGCCAAAAGGTTCTATGACTCAGGCGTAGGTAGCAGCGTTCATGGTCAGATATATCGAAAAGTTCATGGATGTTAATGGCTCAAAATTAGTCGACGTGTGAGCGTCTGTCCTACGGTTAATTGTGGGCCCGCTAAGACTGTCCCCTCAGGCCATGCACCTTCAAAATCGAACTTCATCTGTTACACGCAATCCTATAGCAACTTTTTTTCTTTCCCTCTACCTTACAGGAAGACAGGACATGATAGTGATAGTAGCCTAAGCTTCCAGCTGTGGGTGAGACCAGGGGCCGTATTCAATATTGGTCTCATCTCAATCTCCCAAGCTTAGACTTGAGCAGACCAGTAACTTTTGGCCGCAGTAGTATAAAAAAGGTAAGTTTGACCGGAGGCGCAGCCTGGAGCAAGCCTGGAGCAGCCTGGAGCTGCCTGGAGCAATATCTTATTCATTATACAACCCTAATTTCAT